CAAAAACACGAAGGCAAGAAAGGTGACCGGCTTCAAACCTATCCATTTCTTATAGTCCAATTTGATCTGCCCACTTGGGCATCTCATATTTTGGTTGGATATCTTTTGCTTTGTCTAAATGTTTGCTCAAAAGTTAAGTTAAGTGGCTGCGGATGAAATATGAAGTGGTTACAGATGAAGGGTTAAACGAATGCAATAACTGAACAGCTGCATCCTCCGCTAAAACACTTATGCCTATGATCTTGCAATGTTACCACATGTGATTGCGTTCCATTGTATGCGCGCTGTGTGAATGCATTGCTCTTGAAATAAGTGCGGTGTGAGAGCCAAAACTAGACTCGAGCCTAATCAAGCCTCCTCTTGCTCAGTGGTACTACTCGTCCCCCCCTCTCTCTCTAATTCTATACGGCATACACAAATAGTTTCCACTTCCTACACCGCTTGGCACCGCATCGCCAAATCAGACGTTTACATGGAAAACTACGAAAGGGTATATCAAGTAGATAGCATACCGTCTAGGTTGGTGACGTTTTCCTTCCTTCTCTTCCCTGTAATCCGCGGAGGCTTAGTTACTTCACGCCGCCTTTCAAAGATTGTCTTTCTACTGTCAGCCTCCCATGCTATATTCAGCCGCTTCTAAATAGGACACCTGATAATAATATTTTTCCTTTTCTCTTTTCGTTTTATATTTTAGAGACAGTCAACATCCTTCTTTTGGAACACTAAAGCTGTTTTGTTGATTTATATGGCTTCCCTAATCTTTCGCTTACTGATATAGTCTCCATATCCAACTAAGCGTTTGACATTAGACCAATCTATCTGATGTCCTGTTCGAGCCATGTATTCGGTCAACTCCATTTTTGGACCCACAAACCTTTGCAGGCTTTTTTGTGTGCAAATAACCTTTTATGTATGGGCCTACATGCCTCTTCCACTTAGACGCTACCGCATAAAGACAATATCTTGTAAAAGCCCGATCTAGAGAGAGGTTCAGAGTATTCTCGAGAAGGCATTACCGAGAAGTGATATTTTCTCTTTGATGTCCCTACACCCCAGTAATTAGCCTATTTTCTTCGACACATTACACGATGGTAACATAAGGATTCTTTTTATCTAGCCCCAAATATGTTTTTCCATTCATCCAATTTGACAATTTTCCAAAATAATTGTCAACCAGCCCTCGTGGATAATTATTCTCAACCAGAATTCTCCTTAGTCCTCTTAATTCCTGGTCCCAAAGCTTAGCATCTGCCAGACAGAGGCTCCTAATTATTATCGACTTTATAACTCCTAATTTAATTCCATATGTGTGATTGGAAAAGAAATCCAAAAGGAAACCTGTATTTGTGGGTTTCCTATACACATATCTACTTAATCTTATTCCCTCTTTGCTGACTAGGTCACCAAGAAAAGATAAACCACCTTCCTTTTCTGACTCATTGGTGAAATATATTTTACCTTTAATGGTAAACTGCCAGAACAAACACGAAGTTTAGCTATGGGATCGTGTTTGTCACCAATTTTAGCAAATAAATACAAGGCTCAATTTGAGGAACACTTCATTCAGGAGAAACTTTTAGTTCTTAAATTATTTGTTCGGTATATGGACGAATACTTTGTTATTTGGCAACATGGCAAAGAAAACCTGGAGAATTTTATTTATTTGATGAACAGGATCGATGGGAAGACGAAATTCACTATCGAGTTAGAAAAGAAAGATGGTTTACCTTTTCTTGATGTCCTAGCTAGAAAAGAGGGGACCAGATTAGGTAGAGATATATATAGCATACCCACAAATGCAGGTTTCCTTTTGAATTTCTTCTCCAACCACACTTACGGGGTTAAAGTAGGAGTTATGAAGTTTATAATAACAAGGGGCTTGTGTCTGGCAGATGCTGAGCATCGTGACCAGAAATTAAGAAGCCTAAGGAGAAATCTGGTTGTGAATAATTATCCAGGAGGGCTGGTTGACAATTATTTTGGAATATTGTCAAATAGAATGAAGGGAAATATATATTTGAGGCTAGATAAAAAGATAGATAACTCTACCAGGATCCTTATGCTGTCATCGTGTAAGCTGTTGAAGAAGATAGGTTGATTACTGAGGTGATACGTCAGGTGAGGAGAAAATAATACTCGATTTTGGTTTATTTTCGAGAATTCTGTGAGATTGAGAGTACACACAGGATCATCATATAAATCGTAGATACGAAGACCAAGATCTTAAGTTTGTTGCTTGATGGTAATGGTGGTGTTAAATGACGATGTCGACTGCAATACCAGACAAGATTCGATGCTAGAAAAAGTCATGACTACTGTGGCAGATGATACAGGAATAAGTTATGAGAGCTCTTCTTTTCACTGAGTAAGCTGCAAAAAGGAGGTCATACAAACCCAAGCCACTATGTAAATTACAAAAATTAGATTACTTACACATTAATCGTGGAAAGAATAGCAAATTATTGGCGAAGCATGCCTAAAAGTTAAGTCAAATCAT